TGTGCATTAACTGAGCCAAGGCAGTTGCATTAAGCAAGCTCAATCCATCCAGCACTTGGTGGGGAAACCTACAATCTTTAGAGCCTCAAGATTTGTTTCTGCAATTACTGGGGGGTGGGTGGGGGATGTTTAACTTAATGTGGTTAGCTGGTACCGTTCTGAGCCTCAAACAGAGAAAAACTTTAGCTGAGCATCTATAAAGTACTTTTCTCCATTAATTTTTTAATCCTAGGATCGCTGCCTCTAGCCTGCAAATTTTGAAACTGTGATTTATCTTAAGACACCTGCAATTTAATTCCAGACCTACAAAATGCATAAACAAATTGGAAGATCTGAAACTTTTAATGTAGAGAGCAATTTCTTTTTTGGCATGGCTTGGCAAGATTTAGGAGCTGGATTCGGCCTGGTTTTAGCCCAAGATTTGGGCCACAGCGGTAGCAAAATGATCTTTAAATGCAGAGGGTTAAAAGAAGAAATGGTCAAATGATTAAAAGATCTTTTTTTAATCACCACATAATCCCTTGCAGGGTGGAATCTGGGCAACTGAATGGAGCTAGCAGAGTGCTTGAATGGCTGGATGCCCTTCCTGTCACCAATGCGGAGTTTTGGTTCAGCAGATAAAATTCTCATTATGCCGAGAGAGAGAAATATCTGCCTCTACTTGGATCGAACTCACAGCTTCCTAACTGAGGCAAGAGCTCCACTTCTAGGCCACCTGATTAAAAGAAATTGGAAATAATCAATACAATGATGATGGCTGCAACCTTGCCCTAAAGATTGGGGTTGTGGCTGCCATCTTGACTTTTTCAACCTCCTGTAGATGCAGAGAAGAGCATCAGGTTTATTTTAGCACGTCTGTTCGGCAGGACTTCTCAAGAGGGTTGATTCCTCTCCTTTTCCTTTCTCCTTTTTTAATTTGGCTGTCTTGCAGAACAAATCTGACCGTCAGAAAGAAATAGGAGATCTGCACTTAAAACTGGAAAAATATTCCCCCCCCCTCTCTCTCTCTCTATATATATATATTTATTCGTTATAGAAACAGGAACGCAGTGCTCCGTCACTGCCAACCCACTTGCCTCGTGGCCAGCTTTGGGGAAAAAAAAACAAAAAACAATAACACACACACACACAAAAACCCCAACCCAACAAAATGAGAACAAAAACAATGAACCAAACTTCACTTTCCATAGAAAGGAAAAGAAAAAAGAAAAAAAAAGAAGAGAGAACCTTTTAGAGCAAGCTGCATAAATATTTACAATTTGCAGTTTTCTATGTACAAGTCGTGTTTCTATCATACAACTCACTATGCACAGTTTGGTTGTACAAAAGATAGATATTTCCCTCCCACCATCTCTCCCCCCCCCACCCCACGGTCCCTTGTACAGTTCAAACAATAACATTGCTCTTCGTTGTCTTCTTTTGTGTGGGTGTGCGTTTGTACAAATGGCAAAGCGGAGAACTTCAAACTTTAATAGGTTAACATAGCTTCCTTTCCCCTCCCCCCTTCCCTCTGTCCCGATTGCACAATTTATTTATTTTTTATTTTTTTAAAAAAAGAGGTGATCGCAAACAGCACGGTTAAAAACCTATCGTATGCCACTAAAACAGACGTCAATGTTGCAATGTGCAGAGAGCATGGCTTTCCTCTGAAGCAGACAGTGCTTGGCGTTCAACCAGGCGTGGAGCTAACGGTCAGCAGAGATGGTGTGGAGTTGTGGGTTGTTGTTTTGGTTGTTGTTTTTTTACCAAGATCGATTTGGCACGCAAACATGCGCGTGGGTAGATGAAGATTCTCAGCCAACCCGATACAGGTAGGGTTGGCTGGAAGTTGAGTCAGGGCAACTGGACTTCCTCTCCTTTTTGGTTTGAAATGTTTTGCTGTTAATCGAAGTAGAGGAGGAGAGAAAGAAGGGAGGAGAAGAAGGGAGGGGGGAAGAAGAAAAGGAGGGAAGAAGACAAGAGAGGAGGGGGAGAGGGAAGAGGAGGTGAAGAAAGGAGAGGGAGAAGGAAGGAGAGGGAGGAGGAAGAAGGGAGGAGGAGGCAGAGGAGGAGAAGAAGAAAAGAAAGAAAGAAAAGGAAAAAGAAACTTGGAGAAGCAGTGAAACATTTCAAAACCCAAAGAGAACAAATCCAGTTGGCATGACTCAGTTGCCCTTGAGCCGCATGCCAGGCCACCGATTCAGGGACCCCCAAAAGGTGGGTCATTGCATTTCTACTACAGTACATGCAAACACACAAACACAGTAGGTAGCCAGAAAATCCAAGAGAACGTGCCTGCCTTTGTACACCCACAAATACACAGAAAGAAATACAATGCAGAAATTGCCTTTTGAAAAGGAGGGTTTTTTGATTTGGATCAAAAAAAAATCCCTTCCTGGAATGTACTGTTTGCAAACTCCGGCAAGGTCTCTGTGTTGTGTTCCAGTGGCATTTGTGTGTAGGTGTGTGGTCCAACACAGACTAGGGCAGGGGTCTCCAACTTTGGCAACTTTTCTGAACTTCCATTCCCAAAATGCTGGCCTAGGAATTCTGGGAGTTGGAAGTCCACAAGTCCATAAAGTTGCTAGGTTGGAGGCCCCCTCGGCTAGAGTGAAGCGTGATTTCAGCCCGGTTGAATAACCGTCGAGTTACCTTCTCAGCAACGAAGACAACCTAAGCTGAACTAAGAAGCTGGGGTTGGAGAGGAGGAGGCAATGCTACGGGTAGGAAATTTACAAAACTGTAGGAAGGTCTGAAAAGCAAAGCAGGGTGAAGTTTTGGGAAGAAGAGACAGGTTGAAGCAAAGGGCTTAGGGCTTATCCATCTGCACCATGTCCGTCTTCTATGAACCTCAGGTAGGTGTGGCGCTACCCACGCAGTGCCAAATAACCTGGCATCTTTGAAAAGTCTACATCTTCAACAACAATTGGACAAGGTAACGCTAGAAGCAAAGCATTGTGAGTGCTCCACTCTTGGCGAGTTGGAGAACATCAACTTGCATTTATGCCGGGTTCAAAAAAGCCATTTGGCCCTGAATTTGTGAGCCAACTTGGATGTGTGGGCCAAAAAATAATAATGGCAAGCCACTTTTATGGCAGCGCTCAAGAAGAAAATGAGAAAGATTTAACTTCTTGGAACTGACCTTGTAGGGATTCAAATCCACTGGAAAGATCAGATCAAGAGATGTTTCGATAAAACAAAAATCAAGGGTTGCTGGTCTATCGTGACATTTCCTCAAGGAGCTTCAATGATGGAGGATGAGTAAAGATTTGGCTTTGACCGATTGAAGGAGTTAAAAAAAAATCCGACCAAAGAATGGAAGATAGGAACTGCAGGATTCTTTATTATGGGTAAAAAAAAACAAGCTAGTTTGCAACTGTCAAGGTTTTTTTTGACTTTTTCTTTCCCATAGCACAGACGAGAAGTGGAGACAAGATATGGTTTGAAGATCACATGTCCCCTAAGGAGTTTTTGGGATTACAAAACTGAGATTCCAAAGGCAAAAAAACTGATTGCGGAGCTGTTCTGACCTAGGCTTTACAAAATCCTGAAGCAGATTCCTCGTCCTGACATTATTTAGGCTAATGTGAATTCCTCTCATTCACATCCAGCAAAGTCCCGGCAAACAATCTTTCAAGAGTGATTTACAAGCACAGACCTTTTATCAGGCTTGGAGAACTGCACAACACTGTACAAGGAAATACTTGGCAAGGAGCTTCTGTGAGTCACAAATTGTAAATGAACTTATTGTCTCCTGCAAGCACCACTCCCCTTTCACTCCTCTTTATTCCCTGTGGGAAGGGCCATTCACCATCCACCTATGCCTTTACTCCCAAGGCGGCCCTTGTTCCTTAACCGTTCCCTTCTCCTGGCAGGTCAGTGCATGCGCACATTGGGAACAGGCTCCAGCTGTTCTTCTGCCCCACTGATCTCCGACTCTGAAGACGGCTGATACTGTCTGACGGCCCTGGCCCCACCTCTGCCTCCGACGCAGAGCAGCCTTCTCCAGACTCCAGGACTGGCCCATGTTCCTCCCCAACCTCCTCACTGTCCGAGTCTGCCACCAGCTCCGCTGGCTGCTGGCGAGCCACAACAGGAGCCTCCATTGTCATCACTCCTCTCAACAACTTCTAGGCACATGTGGCAAGTTAATGCTTTTGATCTAAAATAGCTTGGCCCCCTTCCCAGCTACAACACTCAAAAGCAAGATGGGTAAATGGGTGGTTTTCAAAAACGAGGCAACGGACGGATGCGCAAAGTTTTGACAGGCTGGGTGTATGTCCCTTCTCTTCTACGATTAGTTTTATTTGCTTGCCTACTGGTGGCCCTTGTAACCCTGGTGTCTATGAGCCAGCAATCATTGAGGCCAAGAATAAACAACCTGGGTACTCACCAGATACAACAAAGAACCTCACCTCCCTTGTAAGGTAACACCTGGACAGACATTGACTGGATTTGAATCTGTTTAAGGCAGATGCATGATCTTACTCTGTGGAAAACTGGGCATGTGGAATGTACGTGGAGCATGCTTAATATTTCCTGTCCCGAAAGAATATTGAGGTTCTTCAAAGAAGGAAGCTGAAAAGGCTTTTTAAGACATAAACAGAGAACCATGGCATCTGACAACTATCTGGATAGCTTCTAAATGCCAACTCTCGTAAGCTTGATTTTCTTTGTTCCTTGTGAGATCTGGCAGTATTTGCTATCGAAGGACTTAGCAAAATCCAGCCTTGTCACAAGTAGGTTTTTTGGGTTCCATTTTAACAGAGGCTGCACTGTGCTTGAAATCTAGAAGTTATTCCCCACATAAAACTTGTCTATCACCAGAACATCCTTCCATGTCTCTGCTAAGGCATCTTTGATTGCAGGTCCTTCATTGTCAAGACTTAACTGGGGGCGGGGAAAGTGAGGACCGTCTTTAGCCCCACTTAGCCAAATCCTTCAGCCTCAGAAATTCAGAAGTCTTAACAGACAGATTCCTCTTAATTCCCCCCCTTCCCCCGAATCTTTTCTGAGCTTTGTTTTACATATGCCAGTTTTGCAAACATTTAATAATGCATGCCGGAGTTTAATATACTGTAACAAAGCAGCTGCATCAATAGGAGAAAATGAAGAGGATGAGTTAGAAGTAAAATGGTTGGGAAAGCAAACTTCACTGTAGAAACAAATTTAAACAACCAGGAGACATCAACAGTGTGATATTGTCCTTTTTCAGCTATGCCAATACGGCTCTCGTCTGCTCCAGAAAAGACTCAACTATCTGGGATTCTTGGCCTCAAGAATTCAGTCTAGGGCAGAATTTCTCAATCTTAACAACTTTTAAGAAACATGGACTTCCAACATGGCTGCCTGGGGAATTCTGGGAGCTGAAGTCAACACAACTTAAAGTCATACAAGGTTGAGATTCACTGTTTGCGGGTATAAAAGGGAAAGGAAAGGAAGAAAAACAGATGGCAAAACGAGACTATTCACTTTGAATTATAGTCATGGTGGTTTGTGTGAGTTAAAAGTGGGGGAAGGGACCCTCTCATCGCACCCAACTGAATAAGCACATTGCCTAGGGATCAGAAAACTACCTATTTCAACTTTCCTGCAAGTTCCCTTATTTTTCTCAACAGAGACAATTTTTTTGAAAAATATGATGGTCTGTCTTGCTTTACAGGTGATAAAAGGATCTGGAAATGATATGTGTGAATGTGTATCTGTGTGTGTTTGTATGCGTTTGTCTGCATTTATATATATATATATATATATATATATATATATATATATATATATATATTCACATTTCTTTTTTTAATGAAAGAGCTATGTTAATATATTCTACTGAATTACAGAACCATTTTGCTGAATCATGGTTTCCCTCTTGACATTTCCATACAATGGACAAACAGCTCAAATATCTCGCACGCCAACATAGAAACCCTCTTTGTACAAGAGTAGCGACCAAAAAAAAGCAGCATATAACACTGTTTTAGAGTCCTTCCTCGCACCCACAAAACCGAGAATTAAAAATAACCCTCTGAAATAATCTGGCATCATTTCCCCTCCTCCCCCCCAAATGTAACAAAAATATACCCTGTGTTCATCAGTGTTTCTCAAATCTCAGGCCGTTGAAGATGGGTGGACTTCAACACCCAGAATTCCCCAGCCCAGGGGAATTCTGGGAGTTGAAGTCCGCCCGCCTTAAAGGGGCCAGGGTGGAGAAACACTGCTATAAGATGATACCCAAAGAAGCGTTTTGAGAGATTGGTGCCATTTCCACAGCTGCCTCTTGTGTTCTCCATCCCTAGTCAACCCCCTAACGTCTAGAGGAATCATCTCTTGACGGATATTCCAATTTCTTCTCCCCGCTGTCCCAAACAACCTGCTCTCTTCTGGTTTTCTCCTTGACGTCAATTTCTGCACCCCAAGTTCCGGCTATCTGCTTCTGACGTGTTCCAAATTCAGCCTTCAGGGGCACAGAACAAGAACTATACCCCAACCCTCCTGCTTTGAATGACCAGCAACGAGATCTCTAATTCATTGGGTTGCCCCGAGTCATCTTCTCTAGATGGCCCACAACTCCACAGCTCCACCACGGCGGTCCCTCATTAGGCTAAGACAAGGAGATACAGGGGAAAAGGGGTTGGATGATCTGGGTTTCAAGTATCAGGTGAGCAGCCCATCTCAAGGAGGTACTTGGGACCAATACCGGAAAGTGAACCTGGCCAAGAGTTGACCAAGCCCAACACTCTTCCTTCACCTTCTTTCCTCTGCTGGGCTGAAGGACAAAGTGGATGCAGGAGATGAAAAAGCTCCATGAGTGTTGGTAGACTTGGCCATCTCAAACCCCCTCCCTTCTTGGCCCTCATCCAAAATGGACTTGGGTGGTGGGTTCCATTTCCTGGTTGGTTTTTAAGGCTTTAAAACCTATTCGCTTTCTTTTGTTGTTGTGGTTTTTTTTTTTAATATACCCTCTTTCCAGATGTCGTAAAAAAATTAAACAAAAAGACTCCCTCACCCCCACCCCAAGACAGCTCTGTGGTGAGCTGGTCTGAAGGAGACGAGCTCCCAGAATCCCCCATCCCTGACCCGTTCCATCGCCACCACATCCATCTGTCCATGGGCCTTCCCGTCGCGGCCTTCTTTCTTCTCATTCACTGTCCGAGAGGGTCTCGTACTGTGAAACCAATAGAGGTTTGGGCTCTTCTTCCCAGCCGTGGTTCTGGGTACTGGAGTTGCCCTGCAGAACGGTGGCAGTGGGCGGTGGAGGGCCGGTCACGACTCCCGTGGAAAGTCTCACCGTCAGGGGGTTGTATGGAAACGGTGTTGAGCCTGCAGGACAGACGAAAAGGAAGGTGGAAGAAGGGGGTTGAGGTCCAAGAATTGGGAAGAAAGTAACACTGGTGTGCAAGACAACCCAACCCACCTCTCCTTTCACACTTCCTCACACTCACAGGGTTCACACTGGGAGCTCCCCCTTTTGAGAAGATCTACAGACCCCTCACATCCTGGACATAAACTGTTTCAACTCCTTCCCTCAAAACGATGCTATAGAGCACTGCACACCAGAACAATTAGACACAAGGACAGTTTTTTTCCTGAATGCCATCACTCTGCTACACAAATAATTCCCTCAACACTGTCCAACTATTTACAAAGTCTGCACTATTATTGCTATTAATCTTCTCATCACTCCTTATCACCCATCCCCTCCCACTTGTGACTGTATGACTGTAACTTTGTGGCTTGTATCCTTACGAATTATATTGACTGTTTCCTAGTATGATTCGATTGCTTATTGTACCCCAGGACTATCACTAAGTGTTGGACCTGATGATTTTTGACGAATGTATATTTTCTTTTATGTACACTGAGAGCATTTGCTCCAAGACAAATTCCTTGTGTGTCCAATCACACTTGGCCAATAAAGAATTCTTT